GATGTTAGCACAATTGTTTATTCACATGAAGGAGAAAAATGGGTTCTGTACTTCACAACAATGTTATCGCAACATGTTAATGCAAATTAACATGTTGCAATAACATTCGTATAGTCTTAAGAGGAAAATTAAAAGTTAAGCAATATTTATATATTGACAGTAGGAGTGTAAAATGGCAACCACTTTCATAATTATATATTTATAACATACAGATATGTAACAATTATACATGAATACTATATTTTAGTATTTATATATAATATAAACATGATTGTGTATATGTAACATTTATATAAGTGTGCATATATATATAATTACATACCCTTTGTGAACAATCAGTTCTGCTCCTGGAGCATTTACTGAAAGGAAACCTTGCAGATGGATATGTGTTGGGAGGCATGTACAAAGATGTTCGAAGTAGTAAAAATCAAGGGAGAAGGTACTAATCACCCAGAGAATTGATAAATTGTTTATTCATGCATTAGAACACTATATAGAAGTGAAAATGATTAAAATAGATCTCTAGGCATCAACAGACAAATTTCGGAAACAATGTCGAGTGAAGTAAGTTGCAGAAAAATGCATGCGATGTTATACTATTTATATATAAAGTTCGAAAATCAAATTTTGAGTATATTGCCTAGAGAAATAAATGTGATTATAAAAAGCGTGGGGATACTGTATTTTAGGGAGGCAACCGAGATGGGGCTGTGGGGTTGAGCAGGGACACACAGGGAGCTTCAACAGTACTAATATCCTATTTCTCAAGTTGCAAGGTAGGTTCACAGGTGATCATTTTATCATCATCCTTTAAAAATTACAGATATTTCTTTGTGTGTAACATTTAATAATATTTTTAAAAATGAACGGAAATGGGTATATAACTGGAAGATATGCAGAGTTTACCTCCATAGTTGAAATCACAATGTTAAGAACATCTTTTATTTGGCCATTTACATACATGATTCTAAAGAATGTATTATCCTTAGATTCTTGGTTTAAAATGTATTATTCTTAGATT